CAGGGAGCCCTGCCCTCTCTCCCCCTGGATGGGCTCCGGGGTGGGAAGCCCTGCCCTCTCTCCCCCTGGGTGGGCTCCGGGGTGGGGAGCCCTGCCCCCTCTCCCCCTGGATGGGCTCCGAGGCTGCTCTGGGCAGCGCTGTGGCATTGTTGGTTCAGCCCACGGGTCTGTCTACACCATGGCACCTACTCCACAGTGAGGTAGACTCATTGTTCCTTTGAGATGTTATGTGAGATACATGGAGGTTGACCAAACCCTTTCTAAATTCTGTTTAAATCCTTGAGCAAGGCAGAGGCCATGAAGTTGGAAAATACAAGGTCAGGGAGGACATTTATCTGTCCAAGGGGCTGCTTGTCCTCCTCACAGGAGCTGCTGCACTGGGGCCAGGCCGCGGTCTCCGTGGGGAGTAGATGGGTATCTGACAGAAGCAGGGGGCCTGGCCTAAGTGAGCCTGCCTCCCTGCTCCCACGGCTTGTGCTCAGGGTCCACTGTGTCAACAGCGGGGCAACCGACTCTTCGCCAAACTGCAGTCTGCTCCAGGAATGCCGGAGCTTGCTCTATGACGCTCTCTGTGGAGTCACAGACAGTGCAAACTTTGCCTGACTCCTCAGCCAAGCCATCTGCCACTGCCCAGGATTCCATATATTTAGAAATATTATTTGAAAGGCAAACATAGACACAATCTTTTTTTTTTATTTAAAAAGATATATTTATTTAAAATGCAGAGTTACAATGAGTTAGACATCTTCCATCTACTTGTGCTCAAACAGTCTCAAAAGTCAGACCTGGTCCAGACCAAAGCCAAAGCTGGGGAGTCCACTTGGGATCTTCCACTGCTGCGGGCAGTGGCCCAAGTGGACTATCCCCTGCTGCTTTCCCAGGTGCATTAGTAGGGAGCTGGATCCTAAGTGGAGCAGCCAGCATGCATGCCCGCATGGCAGGCGGTGGCTTCCCTTGCTCTGCCACAACACCAGCCCTTTTGTGTCTATTCTTACCTTGGACACTTCTACGCTCATGCCAGGAGTGGGCTCTGAGCTGTGCCGGGTGCTGGCACTCCTGTCCCCAGCAGTTGAGGGAAGGGTGCTTCTAAACAGTGCCGAAGGAAGTGAGTGTTTCTGAAAAGATGCTTTTGGCAACAGCGACATTTAAATGAGTTATCCAACCAGCTGAAGGTCCTGAAAGAACAACCATGCTGACACTGCCCACGCCCAGTCCCAGCAGGTCAGGGCTCCTTGGGCACGGCCTCTGGGCTGGATCCACCCCAGCGCAGGATCCCAGGGTTCAGCTTGCCCTCCTCAGGCACCTTACCCAAGACACTGTACTCCCAGTTGTGTTTCTCTGAAGAACCCTGGCTAACAGACTTTCTAGACACACTGCCCTGTGTTCTTAACCTGACAGTACATTCCAGGGACCTCTGTAATTCACAGGCAAGTTCTCTCATCCCTGTGGAGGACTCCACAGGATTCCAGTGTGGACTCGACAGAGCTTCATTCCTGTCTCCTGACAGACACGAGGTCCTCAGGGTCTCACTGTCACAACTCATGGGGAGATTACTAGTTATTGATCTAGTTTCATAACATCTCTAGCTTTATTTTTGTTTTATAAAAAGTACAATTATTTTTACAGAAAGGTATCAAAGTGTGCTGTATCAATATAAAGGCCCTCCCAAAAAGATCACAGGGAATGTATAATATGCACACTTTGATTTTCTGAAGTTTCTCAAAGGTTGGCGTTGTGGAGGTCTGCAACGCCAGCATCCCTTATGGGCACACCAGTTCCTGTCCCAGCTTGGCTGCAGGGCAGCACAGCGCCCCCTCGTGGCTCAGTGAGGGGCTAGGATGTCAGGACCTGCACAAAGTACCTTTCTCACCGCACACATCCTCCTGATGGCTCACTTCCTTCCAGCTTTGGCTCAGACACTCTTACAGCAGGTGCCTCCTCCCATCTCCTGCATGCCTCGCCCTAGCTGGCCACCCTGACATGTCAGAGATGATTGCCCACCCGCCCCCTGCTCTGGAAGTGGTGCTCTAACAGAAATTGGTTTGTTCCCTGCCCGTCCCAGCCCACAGAACACAGCCAAAGGCTCAGGAGGGACTCACTGAAGGGAAAGAGGATGAAGGTAACAGAGGAACACAGGAAAAGAGGAGGAACGGGCCGCTTTCTGGGCCACACCTTTACAGAAACGGCCATGGAATCTGTCTCACTGCTTCCTGAGCTTTCTCAAATTTTTAGCACATTCTAACTAAATTAATACTTAACTTTCCCACAATCCCCAGGCCCCCAACCAAGGGAAAAGGAAAAGACGAGAAAACCTGGACAGGCACTCTGCTCCAACCGTGTACAGCAGTACGTGCTGACCCAGCACAGTACACTTGGAGCAAACACTGAAACAACTAAAGACCAGGCACTTCCCCCGGCCCCTAAATGTCCAGCTTTATAAATGCCTTCCAGACTTCAACCATTTCTGAGCTGACAGAATTTTCTATGACCTTAATGGCTTAAAGGCTCAGCTGCATTGGTCTTACTTAGAAAATGCAATATGGATGGCCAACACAGTGGCATAGCAGTCCTCTGCCTGCAGTGCTAGCATGCCATATGGTGCCAGTTTGTGTTCTGGCTGCCCCACTTCTGATCCAGCTCACTGCTTATGGCCTGGAAAAGCCACAAGGATGGCGTGGGTCCTTGGGGCCCTGTACTCATGTGGTAGACCTGGCTCCTGGCTTCAGATTAGCTCAGCTCCTGCCATTTGATAAGTGAACCAGCCTTCTAACTACAATCTGCCTCCCCACAAAAACGAATCAATCAAAAAAGTGATGGTGGTGGGTAAGTAAAATGGGACCAGTGCCATGGAGCAGCAGGCTAACCCCCTACCTTCAAGTGTTGGGATCCCATATGAGTGCAGGTGTTTGTTGCTGCTCCACTTCCCATCCAGCTCTCTGCTAATGACCGCAGAAAGCAGTGGAGCATAGCTCAAGCGCTTGGGTCCCTGCACCCACGTGGGAGACTCGGAAGAATTCCAGGCTCCTAAATTTGACCCGCAGCCATTTGGGGGGTGAACTAGCAGATGAAGATGTCTTTCTCTTCTCTCTCGATAACTGTGCCTTCCAAATAGAATTAAGCAAATGTTTTTTCTTAAAAAAAAAAAAAAAAAAAAGAGAGAAAATATAAATTGACTTTTCTCACATCCCAGAGTTCTTAAAGAGTAAAATTCATAGATGCCACAAATCTAGGCAGTTTTTCAAAGAGAACATTTGAGGAAGGATTGGCCAATAAGCAATACTTGTTTTTAAGTGGAACAGGAACCCCCAGTTCACAAAGTGAGAGACCACACAAGAAAATGTGGGCCAATTCTGGGAAACTAAGAATTTGGGACCTGGGGCGGTTCTGACTTCAGAACAGGAAACTGACATGGCAACCCAATATTTTTGTGTTCAAAATTAACTAGTGTGTTTGTCTAGATATTTTTGTTAACTGGGCAAGAAGAGATCAGACATCTGAAACTTAAAGCTCCTTTGTGAAAAATGAAAAAAATATTTTATGCTGCCAACAGGTACTTAGAAAAGATTTCTCATCTTCCACACCAAGTCACTCCCTACAAAATAAATATGCAAAAACCACTCCTGATTTGTGAAATGCCTGAGTTTTAGGATACTTCAGGGTTTTTTGACTATTAAAACCTTGAGCATAAATTAAATAAATCAACATTAACAGCTACTTAACAGTGATAAAATATACTTTTATTTACTTTTTGATCAGAGGGTCATAAAAAAATTATTGCTAAAGTAGATATCAGACAAACAGAAAGAGGTGTTAGAAGTCCAGTTACCTTGGAGTTTATTTAAACTAAGAGGAAGAGATCATAATGTTTTCATGCAATACACACTTGGTTCTTTAAATAACAATGTGACAAAGAACAGAAAGAACTGAGCGATGCTGCACTTGTGCTCCCCACCAACGCTCCTGCCCGGACGGGTGGGCCATCCTGCAGGAGCCCCCAAGCACTGCTGGGCATGCTGCCACGGCGGCCAAGACGGAGGGCATGCCCCAGGTGGGTACAGGAATGCAGACCATAACACAAAGAAAATCACAGAGGAACTACTCGATTTCTTTAAAATCACTGAGCAAGAAAAGCAACACTGAATTCCGGGCGATCTTACACAGCTCTATCCAGTACCTTGACTCAGATCCAAGAGCGGCACGTAAGACTCTCCTCTGTTTTTGGTAAACAAATGCATGGTAAACTTGGATGACTTTCCCCCCTGGATTTTACCTGGGAGTGGTCTTTTAATTTTTTTATTTAAAAGAGGGCAGGTTTGGCACTTTTATACTGATGTCACCAATGTTAATATTTCTCGGGATCTCAGGAAGATTCATATTCTTCACAGCTGATACGGCACGGGCCGGGGCACCCGCCAAGCCAGCCTGCGCACAGAAGCAAATACAAGAAAAGGGAAATGTACAACTCAGGTGGAGCACATCAGAAAACACAATGGAAGACAATGACCAAATATTTCATATAATAAGCTCAAAAATCAGATGGCGGTTTGAATTGGAATGAAATGGTTACTCTGAAATACTAATCTATAAAGAGGAAATAGTTGACACATTACAAAAATACAGTGAACATGCAATGGTAACAATGTAGACTTAAATACAGATGGATGTGTCCACCCGGACACTACACAATGTCCACACGACACAGCGAGTCTTCACCTATAATAAGCACAATGCATAATTTACAACAGAATCTTCATCAAGTAGCTCTGTATTTTTCTTTTCAAAACGGTATTTATTGCGAGTATGTGTTATGAGACAGAAACTGAAAGTAATAGATTATGTTTAAGGTTCTTTCCTCAAGGCTAAACCCTTGAAACATTTCAAAACGGTAAAATTAGTTTTTCAAATTGTGTGGACTCTTCTCAACTTTCCTGAGAAAGTTTTGTTTGTTTGTTTTTTGGGCTTTTGTTTGTTTTTAAAAGCAGGCTTTAAGTGAAGCCTCAATCTAATAACTAGCTCCTCGTAAAGGTAAAACTGCAAGGAGAGATCATCCCAACCCTTTGATGTATTGAAAAAACACAATTAAAAATGCTTTGTCATATAACGTAGACTCAAAAACATTCATATATTCAAAACCCTATATACAGATTTAGATAAAAAATAGCATAAATGCAAGAGGTAGTACATGTAAGTAAATGAATCCAGTAAGGATTATCATGAGGAATACATAGCTTCGTTCTCACTTGAAAAGTTTACAATCTATGAGACAATTTTGAAAAAAAAAAAAAAAAGTTCTGAAAATAAAAGTGAGACACAACTGCCATTGTATTTACCACGGTTTAATTTATTTACCAATCAGATTTCTCATCTCTTCTCATCTAAGGCCCATGATAACACAGAGCCAAGAGGCACACCTTTGAGCAGTGGTATCATGCTGCACAAAAGAACAATTTAAGTCACAAAAGCACATTTTCTACTTTGTTCAGATTATGTGTCCATGAATTCACAGGCATCAGTGGTCAAGTTCCTTCTCATGATTTTTTTTTTCTCGTGTGAATCCTACCTCTTTTGTTCATTTAAATAATAATAATAAAGCTGTTACCCGAGAAAAATCTTGACCGATACAAAATAGGCCAGTGTAAGTTATTTGCTAAATCAAGGATAAAACATTGTTCAGCAATGAAAAAAAAGCCATGGATTATCAAATCAGCGTTGCAGAGGCAGGTGAGCCCTGCTCAGGGCAGCATTCTGTCCAAGGGGTCTTTGCTGTAATCCTGTTAAGGTAAAGGTCCTGCTACCGAGAGTGAGAATCATGCAGGATCTAAGAGGAACAATTAGCAGCTCTCTTACCAGGAAGTTTGCTGTCCGCCAAAAACGTGAAAAATATTACAAGATTGCAGACATCCTGAAACCAGCATCATTTTCCAAGTAGAAGGATTTTCTAATTTTCCACTATTTACTGTGGAATTTCCATAAGGGGTACAAATGATAAGTGGAATGCAGGAGACCATTGATCAAATATTTGAATACACATATTTTTCAAGTTATGAATTATTGGCTTCACAAAATTATTATTGCAAGAGAAAAACAGAATGTGTGTGTATATACACACTACTAGATGCCATGGTTTACGTGTTTTGACAGTAACCTGCTTTTCGGTATTAAATGTCATGAAACCTTACTTTCCATAATACCCTGTTTACCATGACCAGCTACTCAAACCTAAGAAAATGAGAATAAGAAAACACAGCCTATTAAATTTCATTACAATCAGCTGAGACCAAAGATGATTTAGACTGTTGGCTGTTAATGAGAATACATAGTCAACATAGCGATCAGTTCAGTAACACGTATGTGCCATGTTCTTTACGTGTAGCCAAGAAAAATCTACGTACAACTACAGTTCTTCTAAACATGAGCAGCAAGCCATAGACATGCAGAGGATGGGGACTATTCAAAACACCAGATGGATGAGGAGAATCAAATTATTTCTCAAGCATGTTCAATCCTTCTGTGTAGCCTGTCATTAATTAGGGTATAGAAAACCTTAAAAACTGTTATGTGTACTTAGCACTTCAGCAGTTGGGTTCTGCAGAATATAAAATGTGAAGGAAAGCAGGGGAAGGGCGACTGGCCAGTAGGTCTATGTGGGAGGGGCCACCCATGCTCATATGTGAAGCCGGGCTTACTCAGCAAGTCAACATCTGAACGGCCAGATTTCCACGGGAGTGAAGGCCGAAGCAACCTTCTTCAAACATAACACGTCAAAGAGGTCACCTGCCCCGGGAAATCAGTCAGTTGACACAGAAGTGCAAAGTTAACTTTCATCTCGTTTGTTGTTTTTAAAGTAAAACATACTCAAAGCAATAAGGTAGGTAAATTTTACTGCCATTTAACTTTTTCAGTACTAAAAGTTATAGAAATTTAAGTTTATTGTTCACAGAAAATATAACATAAACTGTAAAAATAAGGTATTCTTGACAATACAGCATAGTTCTTCAAGACTTAAATGTACACAACTGACACAAAGCAGAAATAAAAAGGAGAAAGTTCTACTAGAGAAATAACTTGTTTCCACCTGTTCTACGGGAGCACCGCCGTACCAAGGAGACTGCAGCAAGTGCACTAACCAAAGCAGTCGGGGTGTGGACTGGATGGAAGAATGGAGGACGGCATGTCTTCTCTCCCATGAGGTTAAACGAACAGAATTAAGAGAAAGAAAACAAAATGAAGTCTGCAAGTATACCAAAATGAGGCCAAACAGATAGAAGACTTATACAGACATACTCTTGGAAATTTCAAGCACTTGAATCACAAAGATAGTAATGGATGGATATGATTTGGTTTTTATTTGTTTTTAAATTGCCAGACCCAAAAATAAACAAAATATGTGCAAGCAAAACTGAAAAAGCAGCACTGCTCTATCTCAAAGAATCAAAGCTTTCCTTTTTTGTTTTCTCATGCAACAGCAATTAACTTACAGGGAAAAGGAAAGAAAGAATCTAGTTTTTTATTTCATCCAAGACATAAAACCCCACCCTACCATCTTACAATGCTTTTTTAAGTTTGAAAGACAGCATAATAAGATGGCAGCTGGGATCATCTCCAGCTACAAAGCCTTCCCCCATCTCTCCTGGAAGGTTCTCCACACAGGCCCTGACCTAACACCAAGGAAAGAACACCAACATTTATAAGCACATTAGTCAATGGTTTCAGACTCAAAATCATTAACAAAATGATGCAAGACTTTAACAGAATGTTTTTAGGCAAGGCAGAAGCTTGAAATCTGGGGGTTCACAGGCAGCCTGGTTTTGGTTTAGAAGGCAATGCTTCAACACCACAACAGATAAGACAGGCTGCTGCTGATGTTCTTGTGAGCAACAACTACAGAATTTTCAAATAATTTTAACAAAGAAATTTGAAAACTGTTATTTTATACAGATTATCATCAGCGATAATTTTAGTATCAAACACAGCCCTAGCCTGAATGACATTCTTGGCTTTCTCATAACTAGTTTTGACCGTGACAAGTGACCCAGAAGCCTGTATAAGTGGACCTGTCCAGGCAGCAGGAAGAACTCCCACTGGAAATGACCTGCAAACATTTCTCACTCTCTGTGATTCAAAAACAGGCATCTGATTGGGAGGGGCTGGTGGGGAGGCAGCGCCAGTTACTAGTGCTACTGACTAAAGAAGTAGTTTATGATTCTTCGCTAGAAACTGGCAGTTTAATTAATGTGAATAAGTAGTGGAACACAGGAGCTGGCAGTGAGTTCAGTCACTGGAAGCAGTGAGATCATTACACGTTTCCTGTTTGGGAGGCAGTGACAGGGACCGGAGAAGCAGCTCAGTCTTACGGCAGTGCACACTGCTCCTAGCACAGGCCACAAAGGCACACACGTTGCCAGGGGCTACAAACAGCATCGAATTCTAGAGGACATTTTTCTAATTTGCAAGATGGGCAATTTATCAAGTTCATTTTTTTTTTAACTCCATAAAGCTCAACAAATTTTCATTCTGAAATTTTAAATTGGAGGCTTATAAACAACCTCTAAAACCACACCAAAAAGGTGTCATACAAGCAAGTTGCTCATTGCCAGTTATGTGGAACTTTAAAAAGTATTGCATGTAATTTATGCCATGAAAAATATACAGGAAACACTCAAAGGAAAATTAAGATTCTAATTATGACATGTTTGGATGTCAGAAGGATTACTACAGAACTCTAGTGTATTTTAAGCAGTATATTTAACTGCATTTAACTCAAATTTTACATTTCTGATTTTATTTTCTGGTGGCCACTTTAATATGCACCTGCAGGTCAAAACTGTCAAAGCAATTCTGTTAAGACTTTGGAACTGAAAACCATTGCGGGAAAAGGAGCACCATTCAAAAGTCACCATCATACACTCTCATGCTTCCTCCTTTGTATGTAAAACTCTAAATGTTCAGCTTTGGGTTTTCAAACACAGCTTCCAAACCCAGCAGGCAATTTTGTTAGAATCCTATGTAGAGACAGAAAGTCAATCTGTGAGAATTCTGTAATTGGTTCTGCTGCATGGTGCTCGAAGTAAATCTGAGTTTTTATATACAAAATTAATTGTCATTTCTTCAAATGCAATTTGTCTGTTAAATGACAATGTTTTTTAAATAAATAAAAAAATTTAACTTTCCTTTTACAATGCAGGCAGACAGAACAGAACAAACATGACATCAATGATATACTAGTAAAATACACTAAATTCAATAAAAGATGCAGAAACTACAAGGAGAAACTAGGATGAAAAAGAGGCTACAGGGACTATATGGGTTCATTAACACAAAGAATTTTTGAGTCTGGCCTAAATAATCGATTGCCTTTGACATCATTTTGCTTTCCCTTTGTTCAAGTACATTTTTCTCAAAGTCAGCAATACCTTGTCTACCTGTCCTGTCTGGGAGACTGAAAGATAAAGGTCTGTAAGAGAGAAGAACGGAAAGAGCTAGAAAGATCAGGATACTCAGGAGTGACTTGTAAATAATGACAAATTCAGACCCATTTATCCACCTTACGAACAACACAAAATACAGAAACGCTAACCAGTCTTCCCAGCCCCACCCCCCTTACCTTCACCCGCAGGGAGCCTTTCTCCTTAGGCCAATTCTGGGTGCCCCACCACCTCCCACTGCACCCTCCATCTGCCACATCCCGGGGTCAGAGTGACCCGCAAAGGAGGAGGACCGCACAGTCAGGTACGCCTGGCAGGGACAGTGGTCTTCCCCCACCCCGCCAGGAGTGGGACTGAGGCCTCCATCACTGGATATGGAGTACATTCAAGTCAATCTAATAAAATCTGGTTTCTGACAAAGGCACTCGATAAATCCATGCTGCATTTTTAAAGCACTAGCTTAATTATATTTAGGTTAAGATAAACATTATTCCTAAAGTCCTGCAGAAATATTTAAAGTATGGTGGTTCTTTTCATGAAGCATGATGTTCTGGATTTTAATTCTTTCCTGTTACTGCTGCTTTATGATACCTTTAACCAAAATTTTCTAAGATTCAGATAAGTGGTAGGGCATGTATGGCACATAGGTCATAGAAAGCCCACCAAATCATCTGACCCAGCCCTGCCAGAGCAACTGCAGGTGGGACTTGACTCAGTGAGCCTACCAGGCTAACTTGGAAGCTGATAATTACAACGCTTCTCAGGGACGTCCTAAATATCCAAGTGGCCCTACGCAGGGAAAGGATTCTTGATTTAGATTAGTCAAACTTTATATTTTACTCTCAAATAATTTTCTGCAGAACTGTATCTCTGGCTGACCCTAGAGCTAACCAGTTGAATTAACCTGGTATTGTAAAGTCTAAAACAGCTTTCGACATTTCAGTGTCTGGAGTAAGGCTGGCAGCCTTCCAAACCAATTCCAAATACACAAAAACTGATGAAAATTTATATAAATTCAACATGATTTTCAGCATTATTTCTTAAAATGAGATCAGGACTAATTAGCTTTACTGGATTCAAAACTTTATTTAAAAAATAAAATATCTTGGTTCATGACTAAAATATTTGCAGTTATCACAATGTAGAAAAACATTTGGTAAATACAAAAATATGTGATTACTCCAGATGTGAAACATACTTCCTTGTCCAAGCCAAAAACGAAAATGAACTTTGTACCAGGTAACAGCTGACTTTACATACTTACCCGCATTCCAAGCTATTTTGAACAGTAGTACTCCTGTGAAAGGACTTTTTTTTTTTTTTTACTTTTATAAATATTGTATACAGGACACTAATAAGTGCAAGAAAAGCAAAGGGAGCACTGCCCTGGGAGGAGCACTGCCCTGGGGGGGGGGGGAGCACTGCCCTGGGGGGGGAGCACTGCCCTGGGGGGAGCACTGCCCTGGGGGGGGGAGCATTGTCCTGGGGGGGGAGCACTGCCCTGGGAGGGAGCACCCGGGGACACGGTGACTCCAGGTAAGGAGTTAAGTGTATTTTAACATGATTATCCAAAGCCACAATTATATATAGCCATTTCTTTTAGAGTGATAATAATGGATCATGTCACTGTTGTCCTTTGGCATTTAAAAATCTATAACCACATAGTTCCATAAAGCAATGCTTATCAAGTTACACTTGAAGCTATTTTAAGACTTTAAATTTAAAAGTTATAGTTCAGGGCTTAAAGAATCTTTTATTCTACTAGACAATAAATTTCAAAACAACTATAGTAAATAATATTCTTGCTCTTCTGTCCTTGTTCTAAAACAAAATTTCCTCTATTAATCCATGTGTGTTTTCACCTTTCAAAAACCAATACTTTTAAAACTTGGCCATAGAACACACAAATACATAGTCATTTAAGAGTCCCACGCTAAGGACTTCATTACCACCACATGCCCCCGTGTTGGGAATCCAACAGGGAGAGAAAAATGAGATGCAGAGAAATCAGCACGATTCTTAGTTTACAATGGAACATGAGAACATTTTCCTATAAAAGTTTCAAGTCTCTTAACTTCAGATTTCAGAAATATTCATCATTTTGTCCTTCTTTCAACTGAAATGAGCACAAAACTGCATCAAATGGATCCTTCAAAAAATGCCAACAACATTCAGAACTCACCTGTTGTAAATAAGTATCTTCTTTTCTTTATGGTAATATTTAAGTCAAACATACATATGAACAACTAAGTAGAATTTATCTCTGCAACTTCAGTTGCAGCTCTAATATCAAGTGCAGCCTGAATGGACTGTTGGAGGACTCCTCGTCTGTCTAGATTCTCTATGTAACAAGAAACCACCAAGCCATGGGAGAGCAAGAGGCTCTGGCTGGGGGGGACACAGTGCGCACCAAGTCTAAGTTGCATCGGACAGCACAAAGTGTAACAAGCCAGGTCTCTTACAGAACGTGACAGTAACCACGAGTACGTGTGTCAATGTACCAAACGTGTGACCTCACCCTCCTGTCACGGAAACTTGCTTAGAATCCAGAACTCACAGATTAAAGTACTGAATTTCTTTTTTCAAAGTGTGCTAAACTTGCGAAGTGCCAATTTTAACTTCAAACACTGTTTCCTTATGTAATTATACTTCCAGTCCCTTCTCTTTTCAGGAATAGTTTGTGTAACAATTAATTTATATATCCTTCAAGTGTCAGTACCAACATTTTACAAAGCACACATTGGATCTCACTATCCACACAGCTAATCCTTTCTAAAGGAATAAGAATTTGGAACTGCATTTACTGCTCAAGGCCACGATGGCTGTGGCCACAAGAAAAGTCTCAAACACTTAACACACTAAAATGTGCATATTCTTAAACGAATGCAGGAGATTGGGGAACCTAAAGGGTGATACTGAAGGGCAGACGTACAAGCTACAAACCACGCACAATTTTGTTGCACTGAGAACCCTCATTAATCGAAGAGCAGTTTCCATTCTTACCTCGGATTTCTCCAGTTTATTCTGTGCATCAATTTGCGTAACAATCTCATTCATGTTGGTCTCTAACACCATTCCCCCCATCACCATTTCTGCAAGAATATTGTGAACCTAAAAGAAAATATGATTAAGTAAATCCACCAATAATCTCATTTCCATACAAAAAAATCACTCTTACCACTCTGGGGATTCCCATCTTATAGGAGCTATTTTTCAGCAAATGAGAACTAAAATCAAATAGTCTTTAAATAGTGGTTACAGCACCCTCCACGGATAATAAAATCTGTAAACAGTGAAGTATTTGTTTATTATCTACATGATATGTTATACTTATATACCATCTATACACATATATCCATGTTATAAATCTGTTAATTATTTCTAATACTGAATGCAAAGCAAATGCTATATAAATAATTAATTATGATACTGTTATTTAAGAAACCACAAGAAAACCTGTCTACACGTGCTCAGTACAATGCGACTTCTCAGACATTTGAGATCTGCGGTCCGCTGAATTGAGGACTCAGCACTCACAGACAGGGAGATCTGACTATGCACACCTATTTCCTGCAAATCCTAACAGCCCAGCTCTGAGGTCAGATTCTCAGCGGAGAGGTACCGACTGTTACGGGGGAACTCACAGAGAGAAACATCATAACCAGCAGTCAATCTGCTCTCCTGTGACTAAGGACAGTCTCCAAAGACAGGGGAATGTGACAGGCCCTGTGACAGAATCCATGATTCAAGAATTTCTGCACTTTGAGCCCAGACATATCCCCATATTTTATATATTTTGTTTTAAACATATTTTTTATGGAAATAGAAGGGCTGCAACATACTTTTAACAATTTATTAAACTCCTTTGATGCTCACCTAAAATAATAGTTCAAAGAGTTTTTATCCTATTTCTTCAAACTTTTACAGGTACTCGTGTGTTTAAGAGAACAGCAAATATCACAACTGACAATGTATTTTATGGCTTTTCAAGCAGATGTCCTATATACTCAACTGCACAGCTTTTTCTGAGTAAAGATCCTACATTTAAGCTTTCGCTTTGTGATCGTACAAGCAGCAACATAGGGAAATGATTCTCAGTAGCCTCAGAGACACTGATGCAAGCACAGCACCGGCCCCACCATGCTTCCACACAGGGTTAGGCAACAAATACTCGGTAAACACGTTTTACAGGAAGCACCACCTTCTCTACTTGCAAAAGGAAACTGAATAGCAACTGAAAAAATAAAAACCACAAAGCAGAGCCATAAATTTGCTCTTAAAAACTACTAAAACAGAATAGTCAATAATGGTGAAACAACAACAAAAAAAACCTCTAAAATTATTTCCAATGGGATTAGAAAACTTGAAAAACAGAGTTGGTGGGGGCAAAAGAAAGACTGAGCTCCCATTCACTGGTTCACGTCCCAGGTGGAAGCCAGGAAAGCAAGTCTAGATACCCCACATGGGTGGCAGCAACACAAGCATTTGAGCAATTACCCACAGCCTCTCAAGGAGCTGGAATCAGAGCCGGATTCAAACCCAGGGTGAGCTACACTCAAGCCCAGGTACCTGGTATGGGATGGGGCCTCTGCACTGTTGAACCAAATACCCATCTCCAGTGATCTCTACAAACAGACATTAAAGAAACGTGTGTGTGTGTGTGCGCACATTTCCCAGTCTGGTTCATGTAGCATCTCTTACAACAAGCATACATACCAAGAACATCACTTGTAAACATTCTCCACTAAAAGGCACCAGGTTCCTTGGAGAAGTAGCTGACTCAATGGCTGAGACATGGAACAAATAAGGCCTTCTGTCTGCTGCTGCAAAGGCCCAGAACCAACAAGCGGCTGCACGACTACCAGCCCTACTGGAGTGCAGCTTTCATGTGCACTGACAGGCCCACGGCTCCAAGAGCTGGCCGAGAGGTGAGCGCAGTGAGTCCACCAGAACAGAGAGCAGCAGTCAGAGCCCACGGAGGACTGCTGTGGGCACCACCCAGGGGGTAGAGAAGACAACCCGAAGGGGTTAGCACAGACGGGCATCCCGCACATCTGCACTGCATTAAAACCAAACAAATACGCCAAAACTCTGTCATAAGGATTTTTGGTGGCTATCAGGAAACTGAACCATAATGAAAACCGGTAAAACATAAAGGGACATATACCAAAATTTTTTCCTATGTAAAATACCTTTTAAATTCCTAATCTGTTTTATTTATAATCTTAACATATCAAATATCTCTAATTTTAGCCACTGATTTCCTTCTTCCCAATTCATCTGATCAGCCTCTACTTACACAATTTTTTTCTGAGCGATCCTACACTTTCCATCAGTGACTGCTGCTTTTCCCTTTCTTAACCAAGCATGCTTTATTACTTACAAAACCACTGAGCCTTTTTTGATCACTGGGATACGTGTCTAATTGCTTCCTCTAATAATCCCCTCTCTTTCAGTTGGATAAGATCCTCAAAACACCATCACACCACCTGTTCAAAACACCAGCCTGCTATCTTCCCCTCAGGTGCTCTATCACCTTATCATTCGTTTCTAAGCCTCAAGATTACTTCCTGCACTTGTTTTTCCATGTGTAATTCAATCCTGACCACCCTTTCCTTTTAAATGTTTTACTTGAAAAACACACATTGCAGCCCAGAATGACTTTTCCACATCCCAGCACGCACAGGTCATCATTTTCCAAGGTGGAATGCCGCCCCGCCCTCAGGCAGCTCCTCCTGCTGAAGCATCCTTCCCGGCTGCTTTCCGGCTTCCAGGGACCTGGCAGCACTGCCCTGCACTGGTCTGTCACAGGAACCTGGCTCACAAGAAATGATTCCCACTCAGCCTCCTTCAGCTGATGACAGAGATGGGTGTCTCTCACACCAGGGCCTCTAGAAAAGGAGACACAGGGGCTGGCATCAGAGCTCAACTTGGATGCCCAGGCTAAGTCGGTGAAGGGATGTAGAGGACTGGGCCAAGAATACCCACAGCTGTCCACAACAAAGCCACACTTCCTCCATAGCAGCTCTACACAGATCTTAAGCTGCTCTTCTGACTCAAAGTTTTGCTGCTTTGTCCCAGGCAGGGCCACCCAGCCAGAGCTGCCTCCACTCAGAGCCACAGTCTTCAGGAACCCCAAGCAGGAAACAGCTGGGGAAACAAAGTATGCTGGACACACAGTGCAAAGAGTAAACCAAGCCACAACATAACTCAATCAGGACACTGAGCCCATTTCTGGTGTTTGAATCCTGATAGCTCTCCTGCCTCCCCAGCCTCCCTGCCTCTTCTGCCCATATGAAACCCCCTCAGCCCACAGAGCTGACACCAGTGGCTCTTCCCTGCTTTCAATGGAAAGGCCCAGCCCATGAGTAACAAAACCTTTCCTATCCTCTGGATGCAGCCTGTGTAGATGGGACCTGCAACTACTTCAGTTATATGACTGCTTCTGCAACTAGTACTTAAAGATTTACAGTGATAAACTGGTAAGAAACACAATGGAAAAAAAAAAAAGCAGGTGCTTTTGGCTTAGGGCTTGGGCAGCAGGTCATGCAAAAATGGTTGTCTCAAGGATAGAAAGTGCTTCATGTACACAGTGGCAACACACTGGGCAGAACTATCAACTGTGACATCCTGACACAGATGTCTAATGAAAAGCTTTCTCTCTGATTTGGAGACTAACAACGTTCACCTTTGCCAGAGTGAGAGCAGGCAAAATGTGATCAACACAGAGCACAGACGAGAAACACACCCTTGTATTTTTAATAACACTGATTTACTGGAGAGGCAGAGAGAAAGGGAAGCGGAAAGAGAACTCTTATATCCGCTGGCTCACTCCCCAGATGGTACAACTGCCCAAAGCGGGCTAGGCCACAGCCAGAAGCCCAGAACTCCGGCTGGCCTGAGGCCACTCTCCGTAGCTTTCTCAGGCACATCAGCAGGGAGCTGGATTGAAAGCAAAGCAGTTGGGAATTACAATTCCAAGTGGGAATGTAATCCACTGCACCACAAAGGCCCAGGCCTCCCCCGTTACCTTTCCCAGCTCCTTGCTACGGTCTTGAATGGCTCACTCTGACATACAGTCCAAGAGCTATTCACACCAGGTGTGGCGAGATGCAGTCTGAAGGCTGAGTGCAGAACTCTGCATCACCTTTCACAGCAGAAGACCTGAGACCCTCAGAAGACCCCTGCCAGTTAGAAGGCCACAGCACCTTCAAAGTTGAAACAAACCCAACTTTCATCAAAGGGCTAAAAGTCAGGTTAGCCTCACTTTGCACAAGGAATGTGGGGATGGGAAAGATCCATCTTACTGGTATCTGACTTGTTACCCACCCCACAAACTTGTGCTGCGTTACACTGAAAAAAATCAAGACAAGACTCCAGCCTAGAGACCGGTGCATTGCCACTGCACGAAAAGCTACTGTCTGTGGTGCCAGCATCCCATTTAGGCCACGGCTCACATGCCGGCTGCTCCACTTCTGATTAGACACCACTCCACCTGTCTCTCAGTACCAGCTCTCAATGGCCTCCTGCGGCCCTCTCTTCTCTGAGCCCTGTTGTGGTCTCAGTTCATTACTTTCTGAACCATTTCAATAGCCTCTTAATTGACTTCTCAACCTCCACATACAGGAAAAAAAAAGTACACATACATGCATAAAGCACCAATGATGCCGATAAACTGCTTTAGAATGCAGTCCCTAGCACAGCTCTTCAGAATGAGAACTGTGTCCACTAGCCCTTCCTCACCAGAGCCTGAACTCTGCCTTGCAGCAGGAGGGCTCCGAGCTGGCAGGTAACTGCCTGCATCCCCAGGCACCAGCTAGATACGGGGCTCCCAGACGGCTGGGGGCATCCCCTCCCTGCAGGGAAACTCATGCCGGGCAGGGTTCAAGTCTTGGCAACCAAGCACACCTGTTCACAGTCAAATGATTTATGAGTTGATTACAAATTAAAAGAATAAAAAAAAAATTCACTAAAGCCAATTTTATTGATTAATACAAATGAATGTTTTTCTTAAATAAGAATCTCAGAAGACTTGACAACATAGAAATAGTACCTTGTCTACATGGAAAATCAAATCCAGCTCACAGACATTTTCAAAACACTTGTCTAATGTTTCCACGAATACCTGTGGAAAAGAGAAGAAAAAAGTCTTATAGAACCACATAATTTCATTCAAATCTATTATCTACAAAGCAAACAATTCTTAATTGGGAACTAAAACTTTCAAAACTATATTATCAGATTTTCCTTTTCAAAGCAAAAAATTTTATTACTGCAAAATGAACGGGCTTCAGATAAAATACTTTTCAGTACATAAAACAAATTTTAAAACCAGCAAATCTGAACATTATTTACATAAATGTAAAGCATAAAATCTGGCTTCTTACCATCATGTAAAGAGAAATACATATGAGAGATGTGCGTGGTCTCAGTCCTTATCACATCTTAGCTAACCAATGAGAATCCAGCAGCACTACAAATTACTTATAGAAAAAGCAGACTTTGGAATCAGATTCTGGCTTGACTAAGCTGGATGATCCACATGGGAGTCATCTCACAGGCCCAGGTCCAAACTCTCCACCCCCCCCCCCCCCCCCCCGCCTGGCCTGCTTTCCTGACCAGCTCCTGAGAATAAAGCTCTGACCTTTGCAATGTTCTGAAGTAAATCTGCCTGCATGTCTGTGATCCTGGGTCACAGTGGACCAGTCTGAATGGATATTCTGTTATAATGTGGTTCATAGTAAATGCTATTTTTCCTGGAGTGTCTAGAGCTTACATAAACAATGTCAATCATACAGGAACTACACATCTATGCCACTCAGCCCTGAAAATCCTGGACCCCAGGTTTGGTTGGGTAAGTGTCCCTCAGTGAGAACAGTGTGTATGCATGCACATCCCATTCAGGATCCTGCGACTTCCGATCTCACGTCTTTGCTGAATTTATTACTTACCCTCTCACAGTAATAAACTGTAACAATTCCTGAGTGCTGTCACTCAGATGGTACGGTCACCAAGTGCGGTCACCAAGATGGCACTGGGGGTGCCTGAAACAAGCCTTTTAAAATTGATCCCTTCAACTCCACCTGGCATAAACTCCACTGACTGTTGTACTCGGTTCCTGCTCTCACCATATAATGTACTGGGACAGGATTAAGGATCAAAGGAAAGCGCTATTAACAATTGCATCATAGTGCTCGTTTCAGCAGCACATATTTTAACAATTACATTATAACAATCATATGCACTGTCACAGAAACAACAATAGCCTGGAACAACAAATGGAAAGCAGAGCTATCCCAGGAAGAGAGAAATGTGCGCACATCCTATTTGCACACGATCCTTTGGGGGAGGAGGTAAACCCACACGGCAGGCATCTAGCTAAGGAACCTCTCCAACGTCAGGCCAATCCACACAGCCCCACAGGTCAACGAACAATGGAAACCTGCAACTACCTGACTGTAATCAACAATGTCTTGAACTACAATAAAGGGCAAGCTAAAACGGCTTAGGCTTTGTGGGCCATACAGTGTAGCCCAAAGCAGCCAGACAAAAGGACTGTGCAGGATTTGACCACGCCATTGGGAGACACAAGAGGGCTACACTAAGCAAGCATGCATGCTGTATGTATGTACATGTGACACGTTATATTTTATACATAAAATACACATTTGAAATTACTTTTCTTTTTTTAAAGATTTTTTTTTTTTTAATTTTTATTGGAAAGGCGGATATACAGAGAGGAGAGGCAGAGAGGAAGAACTTCCATCCGATGATTCACTCCCCAAGTGAGCGCAATGGCCGGTGCTATGCCGATCTGAAGCCAGGAGCCTCTTCCAGGTCTCCCACGCGGGTGCAGGGTCCCAAAGCTTTGGGCTGTCCTCGACTGCTTTCCCAGGCCACAGGCAGGGAGCTGGATGGGAAGTAGGGCTGCCGGGATTAGAACCGGCGCCCATATGGGATCCCGGGAGTGCAAGGCGAGGACATTAACCACTGCACCATCGCGCCGGGCCCACTTGTAATTACTTTTATAGGGAGAGGGCAAATTAATCATTGGATGCAAAGGGGGTGGATATACATATTTTGTGAAACAGGTTTGATCTTCCTGTTTCCAGTCACATACCTCCTAGAATCCTTAGAATCTCCAAAGTGATGTGGGCTTTTGCATACTAACTGGATGGACGACTGATGGCTGGGGCCAGTGGTTGGCTTCAGGACCATCGTTAGGGTTGGGAATTGGCTGTAGTTAGAAGAGAGAGATTTCAGCCCAGTGCAGTAGCCTAGTGGCTAAAGTCCTCTCTGCATGCTCCAGGATCCTATATGGGTACTAGTTCCTGTCCCAGCTGCTCCATTTCCCATTTAACTCCCTGTCTCTGGTCTGGGAAAGCAGTCAAGGATGGCCCAAAGCCTTGGGATCCTGTATACGAGCGGGCGACCTGAAAGAAGCTCCTGGCTCCTGGCTTCAGATGGGCTCAGTTCTGGTCACTTGCAGAGTGAACCAGCAGATGGAAGGTCTCTCTCTTTATCTCCTTCTCTGTAAATCCGACTTCCCCAAAAATTAAATAAATATTAAGAAAAAAGAGGGGGGTTTTAGCTCCATTCCCCACCCTCCTTCAGGGGAGCGAGAAGACAGAAGTGGTGTAAGATCATCACCAGTGGTCAATGTTCTAATCCATGCGGCACCAGTGACCCACGGGCATGGCCAAGGCAGGGGCTGTCTGGCGGACACGATGGTAAGGTGGTGAGGACATGTGCTCGGGAACCAGCAGCCCTCGTCACTAACTACAGCCCTGCTGCTACCAGTTACCTGGCCTTCAGCATGTACGCAGCTCCTAATACAGAGCCGTACCATGGGGACAAGGCCACCCGCCTTTCTGTGGTACCGCAGAACCGGAGCAAAGCACTCAGAGCAGGGGACCCAGCACACAGCGAGTAAATGGCAGCCAGTATTAGTTCTACGGCTGTTCAAATTCTGATTGCACAATTAAAATACGGTGATGGGTACTGACAAGAAAGTGAGATAACCACAAAGCTGTCAACACCTGTGATTTTTTTGTTAACTCAGAAGGGAATCAAAACATTGTCCATATTTAAGCCTCAATGATACCATGTACGAAAAACATAAGACATACTCTGTAGCAAAGACATTATAACTACAAGTCCTGAATTTACCAAAAGAATTCTCATCATTTAAAGCATTCAGATACTGTCTAGTCAAAACAAAAATCAAAGACTTCCTTCAAAATACTTTCCACCAATTATTTTTTTGGTTTATCAGAGGTTAATTAATACAGTTAGAAATTCAAAACTCTCCAAGTAGATTTTTTTTTTAACATGAAGGAGGCAAGAGAAAACAGCCTAACTGAAGAAATGAAGAATAAATAGGTAAAAGGCCTTGGAAATTCTAACAGAAGAAACGCCAGCTCCCAAGTCCTTGAAGTACTGCTCAATAGCACCCTCTGGTGCTTCATTCTGAAAACTCAGGAAGTTTACACCCATTTCAACGTAACAGACATTTATCTACTAAACAGCTACTTGGGACAGGGATATCAAAATCAAAGAAGTAAAATCACTGACCTCAAGGAATTCAAATGATTATGAGAAGTAACTTAATTCATTGAATTAATTTGTCTTATTTAGTAATTATCAAGTATTCAAAAATACAAACACTCTACATTCATGGGAAAAATGCAGAAGGTAAAAATAAGATACCACAAAACGTCCTTCAGCAACACCGCTTCTTCGGCAGACTCCTTCAGGGCTTCTAGGTTAAAAAATGCTTTCTTTCTGCATTTATTAACTTTTGTTAAAATTCAGAAGGAACCGATCAAGCAGTTTTAAATCTAGAGTAATGTACCAAATACAAAAGGGGTAACTCATACACTATATGGAATAAAAGGCATAAACTCAGCAATACTACCATTGCAAGAAGCCTTTAGCAATATTTTTTCAGAATTACCAACAAGATGTACATTGTGGTTAGCTAAAGTCCAGAACAGTAATAATAAATGAACAAACAACCCTAGAAACACTGATGCAACAGCAGAACCAGCCGACAAAGGCTGTCAGGCCCCATGAACGACTTCTGACAGACATTTATGAACAGCCGAGGTACACTGTCCAAGCCGGGCTGCAGGCAGGTGCGTCAACAGCACAGCTCCGCTTCCGCCTGGACTCTGGACGGGACCCCCCACCCTGAGCTGCACCCTGCAGAGCCGGTCATGACAACGCTATTCAAACTCAGCACCTATCAAACAGTTGGTGTCAATAAGGAAACTTAAGTGCTGATCAAAGAACCATTTGTTTTCTGTATCAAATTGCAGTAATTTTGAAAGAGTTAATTAACACCATGACTTCTGTGTGATTTCTTTTTAAAAAGAAAGTTAATGATAATAATGGCATTCACGGAGTTCTACTCCACTGGCATTGCAACCACAATATTTTAAATAGATTATCTGATTTGACGCTTCAGACATCCCACACTGCAGGATGATCTGTCATTTGCACAAGAACAATCCAAAACAAGGTTAACTAACTGCTAACCTTTAAAAGCTCAAGGCAGAATCTGCATTCTTATTTACTATTTATACCCCTCCAGCAGCATTCAATTCTTTATATTTTTCTGGTGTCTTGCAATTCTCCTTTTATGTTTTTGTGGTTTAGGGAGAATCTTTTTTAGTATTTTATTTTTAATGCAGTAAAAAGTAAGTTAAAATTTTTGAATTTTGGCAAATACAATAAAAGCATAAAGCAAAGACTTAAATTGACTGCATCAGCACAAACACCCACTGTCCAAAGTTAAAATGCATTTCAGGTACAGAAAAGTAGCCATAAGTCATACTATTTACAGCGTTATTTAAATTATTTCTAGTCAGTCATCAATGGCTTCAGTGCTGTGACTGAAGGGATAGACAAAGCCAAGAGAGCTCCATCTTTCAATCCTTAACCACACTGGTCAGGTCTGAGGTGGGGTCGGGAGACAAAATTTCATCTGTCTGAATCACAACATAAAATTCAAAGACAAGAAAAGAATCAGTGAAGGATACAATGGGAAGTCTTCGTGTGTCTTTGGAACTAAGAGGAAGACACTTAAGTGTCTTAACAAATGAAGAGAAATAAAAACTACAA